CACTGTGTCCTACAGACACAGCTGATTATGTGATGTGGTAAAAAGCCAACCACAGTGGCCTTTTGCCATGTGAACAGCTGTGTCCAATGGCACAGCAGACCATCGGGTAAATGCAGTTGTCGGCTGTACTTTCCTCATGCTGTCACAGCATGAGAAAAGTACTGCTGATAACCGGCAATTGTCATAAAACAGATCGGCACTGATCATCAGTGCTCAGCAGTGCCACCCAACAGTTCCACTCACCTGTGCTCATCAGTGCCACCCACAAGTGCCAAGCAGTGCCACCCGTATGTGCCCAGCAGTGCCACCCATCTGTGCCCAGCAGTGCCACCCACCAGTGCCCCCCATCAGTGCCCCCCATCAGTGCCACCAGTTGGGGCCTGAGAGAACTTGAGAGTTTACAGTGGACACAGAGGAAATACTTACTAGAATGTTTGGAATTTTGCCTACAACACAATCATTTTTGGCATAATCAAAGTTTTTTTCATCAGCTTAAGGGTGTGGCTATGGGAGCATGATTTGCACCCAGTGTGGCAAATCTTTTCATGGCTTTATGTGAACAAGAAGCCATATATAGCCACCCCCCAGAGGAGCTCAGATTGTTCAAGCGATACATCGATGATGTTATTACAATCTGGGAAGGGGGAAAAATCGGCCTTATGAGATTTTTGAATCAACTAAATATGAATACTAAGAATATCCGGTTCTCATGGGAGTATGATGATACTAAAATTAATTTTTTGGATCTGGAGATCATACTGAAGGAAGGGAATGTAGCCACAAAAACATTCTTTAAGACAGTAGACAGGAATGATTATATTCCTGTTGACAGTTGCCATTACCCCCCAAGGTTGTGCAACATTCCCAAGGGACAATTTATACTTCTTAGGAGGAATTGTACTTATTATGAGGACTTGCTAGATCAGGCTAAAACTATTGGAGAATGCTTTACTAACAAAGGATATCTACCGAATTCGATTGAAGATGCCATACAAGAAGTAGGCAATATGGATCGCATAGGACTTATTGAAGATAAGAAAAAGGATGATGGATTGTGGGAACAACTGCCAATCATTCTAGATTATAATGTACACCATGGGAAGACTGACGAAATCTTTAGAAAACATTGGCCGTTACTTGAGGCTAATTGGTCTCTACAGGGGTTGTTACCAGCTGGCCTGGATTTGTATGTAGACGGGCTCCCACACTTAGGATGAAACTGGCAAAAAATGTCTTGGATCCCACAAAGATCAAGAAACAAATCACCTTTCCGGACAGTAAGGGGTTTTTTCCTTGTAAAAGATGTTACGCCTGTGTGGCCACTAGAGGTCATAATTTGAAGCGGAGTTGTTTTGTGTCTCACATCAATGGTTCGGAGTTTCAGATTAGAGATTTCATTACTTGCAGGTCCGAGGGAGTGGTATATGCCCAACAATGCTCATATGGCCTACAATACATCGGGAGAACAAAAAGGCCACTGTGGAAACGATTAAGGGAACACGTTCAGAACATCAAAAAAGGCTATTCCAAACAGTGTTTCCAGACATTTTTCCACCCATCATGGTAAAGATCCCTCATTATTGTTTTTTTTTGTCGGATTAAGAAATATCAACCACATTGGAGAGAGAGCAACAAGATTCACTCCCTCAGTCAGTGCAGACTCAGGCCACTCGAGGACTCAACATTGAGTTCGATAGTAATTGTTTTATCAGTGATTTTTTTACTTTTTACGGATAGGTAGGTTCCACAGTCTGATGAGACCCGAGGTTATTAGGTTGTTCTTAGGCGTTCTTCCCCATTTGGCCTTTCCCTTTAAGGGTGTAGCAGATTTGCCTTTTTACAATAATGTGTATATTATTGATATCCATTTGTTGATGTATTTATATGGGTGTCATTTTGGTTACAGCTGTCAGTATATATATTTTTTATATATATATATATATATATATATATATATATACACACACACATTTTAATTTTTTTATATAAATATATATATATATATATATATACACACAAATTTAATTTTTTTCCCTGGTAGGTTTTTGTAGATCCCCCACCCTGTTTGATAACCCCATGTGAGTTTACTTGCCCTATCTCTTATATATATAATAGCCAGTTTTTATCCTCCCTGTTATGGTCGCCAGGTTATGGTCCTTTTATTTATATATATATATATTTTTAGCTTTGTCTTTTTTATTCGTTCTATTCATGTTTTTGTCTTGATTGCACTCATTTCCCTGCGGGGCACATCCAGAATTAATTGTTAGTTTTTAGGTTTTTTAGTTCCAATGGCCCTTAATAAAGTTTATGTGTATATAGGTCCTTGTAGTTCTTGTTGTCCCACGTCGCAGTGATCTGTCACTGTCTTTGTCTTCACTAACATGGCTGCTGGAGGCTCGCCCCTGTGCCAATTGATTGCCAGACTCCCTATAAATGGAGTCTTGTGTCACCACGTCCGTTACCATGAGGAAGTCACGTGACTCGTGACTCAGTGCGTAGGTCAGAAGCGTGGTGACATCAGTACTGGCATGGACGGCAGCCGCCATCTTGCTACACCCATGCAAGTACACCCAGACTGATACATGCAGTTTTGAGCTTTTTTATCTTGGATTTGATATACGTGGGCATTTGGCATTATACTGCTTATTAAATTATATATTACTACACTATGGAAGTGTTTCTTTTCTCCTCCTTTGGGATCGTTTGAGAGAGGCTGTCTGGTGCATTTTTTTTGCCGTGAGGGGGATACCACCACTGTTGTTGAGGATTGCCGGTTCCTGTATTAGTGCATAAGACTTCTTTTGGATGCTGATCTGTTTAGCGTTGAGCGTCTTTAAAGTGCGTTGGCCCCTTGGGGTCGCAGCGTGGAGGTGAGCAGGCAATTTAGCCGGTGGTGGATCTCTGCTCCAATCGATCACTTTCACTATCACCCATCAAGTTTATTTGAGAATTATTTATTGGACTTTACACATAGGAGTCTATTTTGGACTGTTTCACAATTTTTCACATTATTTATGACGTATTTGTTTTTTTTGTGCTTATGTTTCACTTATTATTCATTTTTATTTCTTTTTGGTATTTTGTTTCACTGATGCTTAATTTTGCACTGATATATATCACATTGGTTTTTGAATGAATATCATTATACCAGTTCATTCCTTGTTTCCATATTTGTTCACATCATTATACAGTGGGGATCAAAAGTTTGGGCACCCCAGCTAAAAGCTAGAAGGCTATAAGAAGATAGCAAAGCTTTTTCAGATGTCAATATCCTCTGTTCAGAATGTAATTAAGAAATGGCAGTCATCAGGAACAGTGGAAGTTAAAGCAAGATCTGGAAGACCAAGAAAAATATCAGACAGAACAGCTCGCAGGATTGTGAGAAAAACAATTCAAAACCCACGTTTGACTGCACGATCCCTCCAGAAAGATCTGGCAGACACTGGAGTTGTGGTACACTATTCCACTATAAAGAGAGATACTTGTACAAATATGGTCTTCATGGAAGAGTCATCAGAAGAAAACCTCTTCCATGTCCTCACCACCACAAAAAATCATCGTTTGAACTTTGCAAATGAACATATAGACAAGCCTGATGCATTTTGGAAACAAGTTCTGTAGACCGATGAGGTTAAAATTGAACTTTTTGGCCGGAATGAGCAAAGGTACGTTTGGAGAAGAAGGGGCACAGAATTTAATAAAAAGAACCTCTGTCCCACTGTTAAGCATGCGGTTGGATCAATCATGCTTTGGGGTTGTGTTGCAGCCAGTGGCACAGGGAACATCTCACGAGTAGAAGGAAAAGTGGATTCAATAAAATTTCAGCAAGTTTTGGATGGTAACTTGATGCCATCTGTGAAAAAGCTGAAGTTAAAGAGAGGATGGCTTCTACAAATGGATAATGATCCTAAACACACCTCGAAATCCATGGGGGATTACATCAAGAGGTGTAAACTAAAGGTTTTGCCATGGCCTTCACAATCTCCTGACCTCAACATAATTGAAAATCTATGGATAGACCTTAAAAGAGCAGTGCGTGACAGACAGCCCAGAAATCTCAAAGAACTGGAAGACTTTTGTAAGGAAGAATGGGCAAAGATACCTCAAACAAGAATTGGAAGGCTGGCTACAAAAAGCGTTTACAAGCTGTGATACTTGCCAAAGGGGGCAGTACAAGATATTAACTCTGCAGGGTGCCCAAACCTTTGCAGATGCCAATTTTTTGTTTTCGGTTATTTTGAAAGTGTAAATGATGGAAATAAAATCTAACTTTTGTTGACATATTATAAGAATGTCTAATCTGTAATTTGATGCCTTTTGGAGATTTTTTCCATCTTTCCTTGGCTTCTTTATGCACAATAATACAAATTTTTAGCTGGGGTGCCCAAACTTTCGATCCCCACTGTATATATTTTTTTCTTTTATCATATGCACAGTTTACTTATATCACTTTGGCACATGTCCTGAGTCTAGGTCTAGGATGTGCTTTCCATTTATGTTGTTGCACTGATGTTAGTGCATTTGTGCTATCTATGGTTCACATGTGTCACGTTTTTGTGGGTTGTTTTTAACCTTTTTTCACTTTTTCATAGTTTATTTTATTTGTCTGAGAGCAGCACCATCCCCGTTCATTACAAAAAAAAAAAAGAATGTTTCTTTAAGCAAGGCTATATTGAGTTGTCCAGGAAATGTGGGCTTTTTTTGTACATCCTGCTTCGTAACTTAACATTTCTTTGAATATCTTACATTTACTTGTCTGCTGTTAACAACGTTAACTATTAACCTGTGCTGTATTTTGTGTGAAGTAAGTATATTTTCTAAACATTTTTGCATGGTTGTGTGCATATGGACATGAATATACTTTGTGTGTGTCTTTACACATATGTATGCCAGATCTGTACATAGATACTGTGTATATATATCTCACACAGGTGTACATGTAAATAATGTATTTGAATATAATGCAATGAATCCTTTTTATGATTGTAGCAGACAGCATGGATGTTGCAGATAAGAATTTTCTGCTAACTTCAACCACAGAAGATTATGTGTATCCTGATTTGGTAACATACAGAGTCAAAGATCTCGGCTTAGTAGAAGAAATTTTCAAGCCTGTCCTGTACAGCATCGTTTTTACCTGTGGACTTGTTGGGAACGCCCTGGTTTTGTGGATACTGATATGGTTTAAGAAGCTGGCTTCAGTGACTGACATATATCTGCTTAACATGGCGATTTCTGATTTACTGTTTGTCTTCTCGCTTCCATTTGTTGTTTACGCCATTAAATATGAGTGGGAATTTGGCGATGCAATGTGCAAAATACTGTCTGCAGTATATTACATTGGCTTTTTCAGTAGTATTTTCTTCGTAATAGTCTTAAGTGTGGACAGGTATCTAGCAATTGTCCATGTGGTCTTTTCACTCAAGTTCAGGACTATGCATTTGGGCATCATTGTCACTTTGTCTGTTTGGGCATGTTCTTTTATCTTTTCTTTACCTCACTTTATTTTTCACAAACAGAGTATAAAAGATGGATTTAAATATTGTTCGGTTTCTTATTCAGAAAACCAAGAAGTGACAATGACACTGCTGTCATATTTGCAAATTAATCTTTTTGGTCTAATAATCCCATTTGCAGTTTTATTTTTCTGTTACTCTCGTATTATTAAAAATTTACAAAACAGTAAGAGCAGGCAGAAGAAATATGCAGTTAAGTTGATATTTATCATTGTTGCTGTGTTTTTTCTCTTTTGGACTCCATATAACATTGTGGTATTTTTAAAGTTTTTAGAACTACTTGGCATATTTAACTTGACTTTGCAAGATCTGTATAATTTCTCAGAAACACTGAATACTGCAATGGACATCACTCAGACAATATCATTTATCCATTGCTGTTTAAATCCTATCATTTATACTTTTGCAGGGGAAAACTTTCAGAAGCATTTATACAGAATGTTTAGAAAGCTCCTAAAATGTATGAAAGTAAATAAAGTATGTGGATCTTTTGAAAACTCAGTTATAGACCGTGTTTCCAGTACCACAAGGGAGTCTCGATCTTCATCTTTTACAGAAGCTGTTGTGTGACCTAAACTGCATTATGGTTTATGATGGCAGTGCTAAAAACCATAGCCCCACATGCCCTGACCCTTAATTGTACTCTTAAGCTGGCCTGATCGTATAATGCTTCCAAAATTAAGGATTTCTGAGATTTTGGCAATTGAGGACAAACTCTACAGCACCTGCAGATTATTGTTAAACACGTGATATTAACATCTGAAATGTTTGTACCATGTACATGGTAACTAGGGTACAGCACCTGCTGCAGACTTTATGATATCTCAGTATGGCTGGATTCACACTACATGCCTTACTTGCAGCATGTGCTAAATGTACTAAAGTTGACCTTTTTTTTTTTATTGTGTTGCTTTGATGTACATTTTTTTTCCAAAGCAAAAGCCAATGTACCTTGTTTCCCTTAACGTGAGCTTCAGCACATTGTGATGCCTTGTAGTACATTAGGTTGTGTTTAAATGCAGGATGTTCCAGTTTTACCCAGTGCACATCTCCACAGCATGTAGTAGCATGAACATAGGCTAATGGATATTAATGTATGTAACAACTGCACTCAATGTACTTTTTCTTGAGCATTTTGCTGTGATAGCCTCTATGACCACGTCTGACTCTAGGACCACGTCTGCCTGACTTCTCAAATTACATAAATGTGTTTCTTTTGTGTAAATGATGTGATGCGATTAAAGATTAGAGTAGTTTGCGGCTTCATGAAATCAGTACATTGTACACACCAGATTTAAAACAGCCTTGAAGTAAACCTGTCATGAAAGAAATAGAAGAGCTTCCATTTCTGATTGGATTCAATCATTCCTATTTGTTGAAATGTTCTTTTTCAGGAAACAGTTTTCAAAGCTTAAGGCCTTATGCACATGGGAGCCTGGAACCATACAATGTAAACTTTTAGTGTATTACTCTGCTTGGGAGTCACAGGTTTAGCATACAGCTGCCCACAGAAATCAATAGTTGCATGCGGCTATACATGGCTAGTTGGGCAAACACGTGCATGTATGTGGACAGACACTCTTGGCTGCACACTGTCTGTATCCAGGGTCATATATTTGTACGTATTTGCATGGTTACCCAGGTACTGGTGTACTGTCGCACACAGCCGTTAATTTGTATGTGCAGCACCTGTGGCTCCTGGGTGGTGAGATAAACCCGATGTTTATGTTATACAGCCCATGTGCATGAGCTCTAACTCTTTTAAGATAATTACTTTTGTTTGTTCTTCTTTTGTTTAATAGCACAACAAAATTATAGTGTTTCACTTTTCTTTTTATATTCATGTAGTTACAAATTGGTGTGGTCATGTCAATATTTAGTTTGGGCTGCACAAAGCTTGAACCACAATGAACTATACAGATCACTTATTGTGGATGAGGATGTGGATTGTTCTTTTTTAATGTCCTTTCTTTCAGGTGTTTGAAAAATGATGAGTACTCTTGTGTTTTTACTTAAAATAAATATTTGTGTAATCAGAAAATGCTGTTGGTTCTTTATTTCGTCTAGGTTGTTAGGCTTTACTTCTACTGGTGCACTTAGGAGCATTGCAGGTTTGGTGCATTTAAAAAAGGTTTGCTTGCTGCATTTTTGATGCAGTTTTCAACCAAACAAGCATTAAATGCATGTAAAATGCACCTAAAATGCTAGTTGTTTTGTAATATAAAGAAAATAACTGGGAAGATTTTAGTTTAGTGTACAGCAAGTAGAGAGGACACACAACTGTGATGGGAGCAACAAGTATTTTTTCTGTGTTGTGATAGTCAACATATCACAACCCTAAAAACTGAAACATGGCCGGGTAGTGAAGCATTACAGCCTGATAATCAATCGGTTAGGGAGAATACCTTTGTTTGTCAAATAAAGCATTCAAAAGCCTAATAGTAAAAAAACAAGGTGGTAGGTAAGTAACGGGCTGGAGGAAACTGTGGGTGAATTGCAAGTTTAATCCCTATAGCGTCTGCTCATCTGCAGAAAGACCTATAAAGGGGTGCTTCCTGAGGGTTTCAAGGCAATAACACTCCCTTCAACAGATCTGAGTGTTTATGAATGCAGAGTCGGTTTCTGATCGTCAACTTTTTTTTTTTGTCTTTGCTAGTGTAGACACACATGAATCAAATCCTCCAACATTGCTTTCAATAACACTGAAGAAGGGGATACTATTGCCTGACTAAAACATTGGCTATTTCCTCTGATTCCTGTTAACCATAAAAAGATGTACACAGTGCAGCTTTCAGACATATAACAAGTTTATAACATACCTAAAAAAGTGGAGGTGAGTTGTTTTTGGGTTTTTTTTTTAGTATTTTATTGCATTACAGGTCCATCTTTCATCACATTCTCTTTCATTTTTAAACCTAAAAAATCGTCACAAGCTGTAAAGCAGCCCATATAAAGAGACATTGTTTTCCTGGTCAACTGCTTCGTATTGACTTTAGTGAAGTAGTATTGATGACCGCTTAGAGTCTGCATTTCACCTGCTTTGCATTATGTTGTGTTTTTTTTGGATGCAGCATGGCCTATTGAAGTGTGTTTGAATTGCAGAACACAGAGGTCAAACACAGGCTTTTCTTTTCAAAAGCTGAATTTTGTATTGGAATGCATTAATTGGGCAGCTCTGCAGTTTAAATGGGAAAGCCTGCGTTTGACAAGAACATCCATTAACACCAAGTATTTTTGCTGGAAAACATACATGACACAGACTGTGCTGCTCAGGAGGCTAAAGCAATATAAAGGTAATTATAGTATATTTGTAATAAATGGTATTTATCATAAGGGTCATTATTTTGCTATGTTCCCATTGCTTAAATAATTTTTAAACAAAAAAACATTTGTTTTATCTTTACTGAGTATTTTTTGTAGAAATGAATACAGTGTTCAGACAGGTGTCTTCATTTAGTTCATTTTAGACTCTGTAAACCTTGGTTCAAATATATGCGATTTCTGATGTGTTTTAGAATGCACAACATGCAAAAAGTCATTGTTTTCTTCTATGACCATTCACATATATGCAGTGCACCCACAGTGTGCTTTTAAAAAGAGCCCTATGCGATTTTCAGTGCCCATGTAGGTGCTATTTCCAGCCTTATACATTTTTAACAATTTTACATCAAAATTGCACCTGTATCATTTGAACAAATCAAACCACATTTGGCCATAAAAATTGCACCATAAACTGCAATACATATATGTGAACTCAGGCTCAAAACATTTTGTTTTATACCATAGCATGTATTGGAAGTTTGTAGCAATTGTAGACATTTTGCTTTATCACTTGGTGGCAGTAAAGCATGGGTGGCCTAAGTTTTACCAAGCTTGGGATGTTTTTCTCCAAGATAACTAACAGCCATTATGTCAGGTATTTCCTTTTTTTCCAAGATCGCAGATGACAAAGAAGAGTTCTTCCTGGCTTGCTGAACATCTCATTGCTGTGGCATAGCACTTGCACATAGTGTAGTTTGAAACAAAGCTGCTGGCAGTAAGTTGTCTAAAGTGGTATTAAACTAAAAAAAATTATTAAATTATATCTTACCATTTCTTACATGTGGTGGTTGCATTCGTTTTCTTTTTTTTCCTTTAATTTCACCTGGTGATCCAACCAGTGATTCTGTTATTTTTTTTAAATACTCTAACAGACCAAGCTGTCTAGACAAAATAGCAGTTAGAGAGTTGGGACAATCTATTTACCACTGACAGGAGTATTCACAATGGCCAGCTTTTGAAACATGATGATTTGTGTAAAAAACTTTATCCCAAAAGAAAAAAAAATGCTTGCTATAACTGTTTATAAAGTATTAGCTTCAGTTTGTTATTCAGGTCCATCCTACTACTTCATCCTGAATTCATACACTCTAAGACAGAAATGTGTTAGTGGCTGGATCACTAGATGAAAATATAGGGAAAAAGCTTAAAAAAAATTACATTTTTGTTTTTCTGTTTAATACTGCTTTAAACTATTCATTTATATTTTCTATTTTTGTTAAAATCAGCAATAAAGCTTATTAAACAGAAAGAAATTCCAGAGTATTCATGTCACGAAAAAAGACACAATCTACATCTGATTATATGTCATTTGAGTGTACAAACGTACATAGTAGACAACAGTGTTACAGAGCATAGTATAAATACAACCTCAGCCCATTTATCATTGTCCATAGAATTAAACAAAGAACCCGGGAGTAAATGCATACTAGAGATACCACGAAGGCCAGAGGATAGACCTGAAGAACTGAGCCACAGCCTAGGATCCGGTGTAAAACTAGCTCTACAGGGCTAGACCAAGTACAAACCGCCATCTATCCCATATTCTATCAAATTTGGTAGGGCATTATATTTGCTATTTAGTCATATTTGTGATCAAATGGTGTTTAAAACTGATTGTAGATTTCTGGGTATTGTGTCAAGGTAACTTTTTGACATATACAATGTTTTTAAACGCAAAAATTTTTTTTATTCTGAACTCAAGGTTAAAGGTTAAGTAAACAGATGAAATACATACGGTATATGTGAGCATTGTTGGATTACCAAATAAGAAGAGTAGGCACTGGCCTATGGGCCCCATGCTGTTTAAGGGCCTCGCAACAACAGATCAAAATAATATTGATTTGATCTTGAAAGAAAATTACAGTGATGCTTTCTTAAATTGTTTACAATAGCTATATAAAAATTAATTAATTGAAAGAAAAAAAAACTTCACATTAAAGACTCTACAGAGAAAATACTGTATTATTGTAATGTTCTCAATAACTACATAAACCCTAGACATCAGGTTCCCATCACAGTTCCTTTTAAAAGCTGATCTTCTTTCAGCAGTTAGTTTGTAAAAAAATTGGTACAGCCTACATTTGTGTAATGTACAGTAGTGATGATCTTCTCCATCTAGCGGCTGATGTGCACACTACCTAGTTCAGTATTATCCCACTAGAACACGCGCATGTGTAACCTGTGAGGGGGTCCAAACTGCCTAGGGGCATCCAGAAAGTTTAATCTGACACTGTATGTGAACTCTTATA